CACACACACACACACACACACACACACACACACACACAAACTGAAGTGATTCCTAACAACAAGGGCCATGAACATTGAGGAACAGGAGCCAACTGCAAGACGTTAAACTGACATTCAGCAAACAAACTGAGCCATGTGGGAAGCAGTGGTGCTGGTGTGGACCGCAGAGTTTCCCAATGTTTCCTCAGCACCTGGTGTGTAGATTCGTGAAGTGTCTGGGTTTTCCTCCAAGCCAAGATTCCTCTGAACACTTTTCCCCCCTCTCCAGATTCAAATAAATCATTTACTCCATGGGGCCACAAGAGCTGTAATGATGTAGAGGGGTAAAAAGCCCTCCCTTCCTTCCAACTCTTCTCTGGGTGCCAAGTTTTCCTCTACAAACTTCTGAAGCTTTCTCCTCCCTCAGCAGGAATGCCAGATGCAGCAAGCAAACCGTTGAGAGAAGCCACCTCCCCTGACTCTGAGAAGCTGCAGGGAAAGCTGCCCACCGCTCCAACAACCCAGACACTTCAGGAGAGACAGACATAGACTTATTTATAGAAGAGTAAGCAACCAAGAACATAATCAGCTCTCAGACAAAACAGCTCTCGTCTCTAGAGCTGGAGGAAGGACACCCAAAGAGCATGCAGAGGGACAATACACTAGTTACTGCTCTCCACAATTGTGTCAATCATGTTGTTATTTCTTCCTGAGGATGTTATATCCATAGCCAAAGCAATGTTTTGAATGACACACACCAAGGAGACACCAATGGAAACCAACCCCCCTGAAAAAAAAATAACTATTGCCTTTATGACCTTCTATTTAAAAGCTTTGTCACACAGAGCCAGAAAGTTAGTATACTTCTGGGATCCATATTTCCTTTCTTTGGGGGAAAAAAAGAGTTTTGAGATAGCAAATCATATGATGTAGCCCAGGCTGGCCTTCTCTCAGACTCTCCTGTGCTAGAATTAAAGCATACACACCACACCTGGCTCATGGCTAGGGGTCAAACCCCAAGCTTTACGTATGCTGGGTGAGTACTCTGCCTCTGAGCCATATCCTCCACCCACAATTGGGATCAATTTTAAGTGAAAAAGCTGGAGAGCATGTATAATAAAAGCACTAGACGACTGCTTTGCTTCTTTGGACTAAGGGATTGAATCCAGGGTTTTGATATGCTAGGCAAGTGCTCTTCTGTGTGGCTACATCCCAGTTATAGGACTGACTATTAGAAAACAATTTCTGTTTGAATTCTGAGTCAGACCAAATTTCTGTCTGTACGTATTGGCCTCCCAGAGGACCAATGGGGAGTTACTGGATGCAGGAGGGCAGGAATGTGCTTAGGCAAGACAACCAAGGCCTTATTTATCCAGGGTGACTAATGCTCTCCTCCCAGGCTTGTCCTTCTAAAGGGCATTTGACTCCAGTGAAGACCAGGCCCAGAAGATGACCATATGATGCTGTCCTTAGAAACTGCATCACCTTCTGGATATCTTTCTGAAAGCTTCCCTTACTATAAAGCAGCAGACATAGCCCAGTGTTCTATAATGGCAAAGCATGACAAAACTAGTAAGGCCTGCAACCTGACAATCACAATAGGCCCTGTACTGCATTTGACACTAAGAGTCTGCATTAGTCCTATTTGTCCCGTCCAGGTTCTAACCAGACCCCACTCTGCCTGGCTCCTGAGATGAGAGGAGATGGAACACTTTCTGAGTAGTATGGACTGCTTCCATCCCACTGCTAAGTTGAACAGTGACACCTGTCAAGGACTGCCATGTCCACCACAGCCGAGAACTTAACAAATACTCTTTCAGAATCCTTGAGACAAGTGCATGGCGTGAGACAGGAACCACCACTGTTACTCTATTTTGTTGCTGGGGAAACTGAGGAACAGAAAGGTCCACATGTTTGTTCATCGTAGGTAATTAACAAATCGGGAGGCACAGAGTTAAACCAGGTCTATTAAATTCTGAAGCAGACCTTTTCATTAACAGTAATCCCAGGGAACAGGCAAAACGGTTGACCGTTCTTATTATCTGGGTGACAATTGAGAACTGTTTTTCCCCACTCTATGGATAATTCCATTCATTTTCTTTCCGTACTGCCAAATTTCTCATTTTCTACCTTAGCCATAGAACACTTTTGTTCAGTCAGAAGAAAGGTTAAGCGTCTTGTTTCTTACCCATATGCTTATTAAGTAGACAAGATAATTGAACAAGTAACCTTTTGCCATGGTTTACATTTTCCAGGAAAACAGAGGCCAGTACACCCACCACAGTTAATGATCCTTAACTGGGCAGTCTGCCAAAGGTCCCAATTTTAAAAAGAAAGGAAGAAGGAAAGAGGAAAAAAAGGAGAAAAGAAAAATGCAAGGATCCTTAGGGCAGGTTCCTTCCCAGGGGAATCAGCAATGATTCCTTCCTTGAACAAGATTTGAGCAGGCAAATAGCTTCCAGGTCTGGCTGGAAACCTCTGGGTGTCCCTGGTCTGCCTTTAATGGGGGGTGGGGGGGTTTAGTAGAAAGGAGGAGAGACGCTGGAGCAATTATCAGTTGTGTCCTGAAAGGAAAACCTCAGGCCAGCAGAGTCAAAATCACAGACATCTGGGGCTGGAGGGAAGAGGTGGGAAGTGGGCCTGGCAACAATCTTCAGGAAGACTTCCTGTTGTTTAGAAGCAGGGTGGGAGGCCACTTTTTTATCTGATTGTGGGCCATTTGTGCCTGCGGGTTTCCAGCAGCTGCGCTCAGGGCTCCCAGAATCCCTCATACACAATGGCCAGGGTCACTATCAGAAAAACAGAGCAGGTACCAACCTGCCATAGAACTCTGTCATGACTGTACGACTTCCAGTACTACAAGGACACCCAGGGCTCTGTGCCAACAGTTCTACAAAACAGACTTACTGGAGAGCCCAAGACTCCATCCATCATGGCTTCCCTACACATAGCTATTCCTGTCACCCCACCACTGCTTCTCAGTCTATGAAGACCTCTGTACATACCTGTACACTGCGGATCTACTTCAGGGACACGTCATAGGGAAAGGATGAGACCATGCAAGCAAAGTGCCTGACACAGCAGCCAACATACTTTCAGTGCTCACTGCTAGCTGTTTTTATTATTCTGCAGTTCATAAAGAATAACTCTGGAAAAATCTAAAGTTTAAACCTCTATAGAGGAAAAGGTCCTCTGTATAAAAAGTCTGTGAGGCATCCCAACAAATGACCTCCTATAAGACCCAGGGTGACGTAGTTCACTTTGGTGATTATCTTCCCTAATTCCCTTATCAGGAAAAAGCTCAATAATACAGAACAACTCCCAGCTCCTAATCACAAAACATGCAGGCCTTTCTGAAGACACAGAACTGCAGAATATGCAATGGCTGGAACCACTGGCTAAGCACGTCATGCCATCAATTGTTCATTACTGGATTCCCGAAAAACGCTCTTCTGGAAGGTCTCAGCTCCCGCTTAAACACATAGCCCTGTGTCATCTGTCATCTGCTGCCATCCCCACAGGAAGGCAGCCACCTCCCAAAACTTTTACTTCTCACCCATCCTCTCAAGTATCAATGGCCTCTAATTCTGTGGCTGCAATGTAACTTCTTCACAAAGGTTTACCATTCTCCTTCCACCCCCACACAGTATGGTCTCAAGAGTGCCCCTCACTGGAAGACAGGCGGAAGGCTCCAGGCTCAAAGCACCTGTACTGAACCCCAGTTCTGACGTTTACTCAGTATAGGAATTCAGGACTTCCCTAAGCCTTGCTGTCCCCAGCTATATGCTTGGGGTCATCATAAGGCTTGGACACAAGACTTCGATAATCACCAGCGAAGACCCATGCATAAAGCCATGTTGCCATCTCCATGACCTACAAGAGCCATCACCCAACACCCTGACTGACTGCTAGCTGAGGTACCTGTCAGACCAGGGTTCTCCCAGAGTAGCTGGGCCAGAGCAGAGCGAGTAAACGGCTGCCCTGGGAGGTGTGCCGGAACACTGGAGCCATAGCAACTGGATGGAGCTCCCACTACCCACTATCTTAGTTTCTTACTGACCAAGCAATGGATAAAGAGAAGGGAATACTTGACTCCATTCCTAAGGAAAGAGCAAGTACAAACACATGAACAAGGAGATCTGCTCTGAG